GAAGGAAAGAAATAATCTCATTACATGTTTACTTAAATCACTGAACTGTCAGAGATGTGTATACAAACCTATTCCCACTTCTAAACAATTTACCAATTTTTGAAGAATATAAAAAATGAAAATTAAAATATGAAACATTTTTCATTCAGAACCACAAATATTTAACTCAAAGAAAAAACAGCAAAAAAAAAAAAAAAAAAAAAAAAAAAAAAAAAAAATTATTATTATTTTTTTTTTAAATTTCCATTACATTGTAAAGTTTTTATTTTGACCTTCAGACAAATTCTAAACATCTTTACTTTTTCAAAACAGAACTAGTATTTACAGTTTTAATGAGTTTACCAAGGAAAAATTTTGCTTTTTTTATTTTAGGCACCATACCCAAAATAGGGTACTTTTAAATAAGAAAATTTTAATAAAAATGGGTACTTATTTATTACCATGTCAATCGTGAAACTGTCACTAAGTAGTGGGATTTAGCGCTGATTGTAGGTAAGCATGATGTAACATCTGCATTTTGATTTGATGTAACCCAAATGATTTTTGATAAAGTACCACTGGTTTTTACATATATGGATACAAATTAACTATTACTGCTGTACCTTTTTCTTGCATTTTGAAAGAAATGATGAATATTTGGACTTTTGCAAAACAGCAAGCAGTGGATAATTTTCCACAGTCTAAGAACTGAATAAAAGCAGTGGATAATTTTCCACTGCTTGCTGTTTTGTAAAAGCATTTGTGGATAAGCATGAGATTCTACTTTCAAAAGATTTGTATATTAATGTACAAGATATGGTTAGGTGAATATGGCTGACAAAACAGAAATAAAAATGGAACAATTAACTGCAGGAAAATAGTACTCGTAGTATTTTTAAACAGATCCCGCAAAATTAGAAGGCTCAGCAAAACAGTAAAAAATCGATGAAAACCTTTTTATGAAGTGATTTGAACACCGACTGTTTATTAAATAATGTAGCATTAGTTCTTTAAAAATTCCGTACAAATGACTGGCATAACTTTGGCAGTATTTCTACCAACTTTCATGGTTGACAAGATAATACATAAGAACCTAAAAATGCTAAAACAGGGGAAAAGAGAGAAAGAGAAGAACTTATATGGCTCTTGCAATGGTATATAAATTTCTTTTATGCCTGTTTTTGCAAATTGTGATGTAGGGTAAAATACCTTTTTCACATACGACAAAATTGCTTCATTTTCACTTAATGATAAATCAAGAATTGCAATAACTTTGAAGCCTGCCCACACACACCTGGAAAAAACTTCTTAGGGGGAGGGGTTTCAGATTTCTTGGTACAGTACAAAGTTTGAGATCCAAAATCACCGAGACTTCAGCAATTCCAGATATTTCTGGATTTTAGACCACCGGCTTAAATCAAGTAAAATATCATGTAGAAATTGTACAAACAATTTATTAATATTTCTTTAAGAAAGCAATATTTTGCATTTTTATTCAGGTACTGGTGAACATTTTTATGCCAATGTCATGGAGCACTGTCTTGCTGCAGAGTGAAGCTAGGAACCGCTTCTTCCAACTGAGGAAACAACCACTCTAATAGCATATCTTGCTAAATACACCCGTTAATCGATTTTTCCATGAAGAGAAAAAGATCAAAAACACAACTCTTGGAAATGGCACCGAAAAATTTCACCTTTGGCGAATCACTCTCATGTTCCATTATGATATGCGGATTTTCCATGGCCCAAAATCGTAAGTTATGGTGATTAATTTTGCCAGAAACATGAAAAGTGGCTTCATCCATTAGCACAAGTCTGTTCATGAAGCTATCTACTTCCAGCTTATGTTGCATATTTCCTTAGAAAATTTTATGAATAGTTTGTCATCATAAGGTTTTAACAACTGCACCATCTAAAAGGCGTATGGATGGAATTGTAGACATTCTTTAGCACATGCCACACACTGAGTTCAAAACTCACATGATGTGCTGACATGGTGGGACATCATAATGTAGGGATTTATATTTATTTTAACTAGCAAGTTAAAGTTTAATTTAAAAATTTTTCTATATGCCTTCATTCCTCTAATTGTCAATGCCAGAATAGTTAAATTTTGTAGCGTGCATGAAGGAATGCAAATTTCTACTTTGAAAGGAAGTATTTAAAAGCTGAGTTTCTGTGGGAGGAAAGTTAGGCTATAACCGCCACCTCTGCCGTAGATATGTTTGCTTATTGCTGGTGGCTTAATTGCATTTACTTGCTGCCACTGGTTTCGAAGAGGGTTTAAGTTACGAGATCTCGCTGAGCCCTGTAGGTTAGTTCTATCACTTGTTAATACCTTCAGCTTTTAGTTTCATTACCTGATTTTCAGTTACCGCCCAAGCAGAGGCAAAGTTGGTAAGCATCGAGTTGACGCATTGTAAATTTTAAAGAAGTAATAAAGGGTACTTAAACCCTTCTCTTGAGTAGTTACTATTATTCCAGTCTTTCATACAGAAGTGCACCTGTTGGACTATACAATAAAAACATTTCACAAATTTTTTCAACCACTTAGGTTTTGGCTGTCATTCATTCTTCCATTTCTGATTTTCTTACACAAGCACAAGCATGTCCTGAAACTGCATCATTGTCCAAAGTTGTTACAATGTGGTGGTTCTTTATCAAATTTTGTGAACAAATGCCATTGAACAAGGATAAATGATGTTTGGGAGTATTCCAAAACACAGTGTGCTTTCTCCTGCATGGATGATGGCATTTTGATTAACAATAGCAGCGATTTTGTAACAAGAAGATTTTTTGCTTCTCTCAGATAAGACTTGTATAATTGTAGTTTCAGAATTACAGAATTAATCTTTTTTGGTTTAATAAATCAATTACAGAATTTGTACTATGCTATTCTTTTTTATTCCATTCAATACAAAATTCCATGCGTTTCTAGAATACTTGGCAGGTTTTACTTCTGCACATGTGTCTAAAAAGCTAGTTTATATCTGGGTTTCAGTATATGTAAAATTCGATACCCCACTAGCTGAATGACAGATGCACATTCTCAGAGAAAGACTAAAATGGAGAAGTTATCATTTACTAAAACTGTAATTTAGAAAAGATTAATAACAATACACAGAACAAAATAAGCTGTTTCATACCAGAAAGTTAAGAGAAAAATGCAATTTCTATGGAAAATGAGATTTCACACAATCAAATTCTTTCCCCCTTGCCTGCTGCTATGATAACAAAAGAAAACTAGTACAAGTGCCCTTCCTACTGTAAATAACTTGGGGCTTATTGTTTAGGTCACACAGGAAATTGCTAACCTTCGAACCACTCAAGGGCTGAAAGTGCAGGCACTTCAAACATCAATCAACATAGTATTAGTGGCCAAGGCAAAGAACATCCACATTACTGGCCAAAGCAAAAAAAAAAAAAAATACATATTCTTTGGCCAAAGTGTTTTCCTCAGACAGTAGGGATTTGAAAGGCTTTTATTGCAAATCTGTTTTATCTCAAGTATCATATTCTCCAGTCCTAGACTTTGTATAAATAAATAAATAAATAAAAGGGAAAAAATTGCAAGTAATCCTAATATTAGATCTTCCAGATATTTGAAGTCTGTATTTTGGACTTTGCTGTATTTGGCTTTAGTTAGTGTTTTAGGTTTGTTATATTGCTTGGAGATAAATACCACCAATCCTGGTGATTAATTGCTGGCTGCTAGTAAAACTAGAAAGTATCTAATAATTTTAAAAAACGAGTTCAAAATTCATAAAATTATAAATCTGGTTAGCTTGTAGTAATAAACATTAGCCCAGTATCTTTGTTTTGAAATTTATTTATATTCTTAAAAAATGTTGTTTTGAATTTTGTTTTGATTCAAACAACTTTTTTTCTTATTTAATTGGCTACATTGGGTTTTTACATATTTTATAATATTCTGTAACTTTCAGTATTTTATAAAAAGCTTTAGTACTTTAATAAACATATCCAAAATAACATCTTGAATATCATAGTATGACATAAAGTTAGAAAAGAAACAACCTTGTACTTGGCTTTTATTTTAGTCATGCACAAAGCCAAACACAAGGTTGCTGCTTTGATATTTTAAGTTTGGCATGTTTCTCTTCTATCTTGATCCATTATTTGGCAGGTTTCTCTTCTATCTTGATCCAATATTAGCAAGCATTTATCCAAAATTTCTAAGTTACAAGAATTTAAATAATTTAAGATAGCGAAAAATATTAATAATAAATGAGAAAAGTCAAATAATTATTTTAAATACAGAGATTCATAGAAACATATTTAACATAAGGTCTATTAAAAGTAGGGGAAAATAGTTGAACAAATTAATCTTTAGAATGCTCATCAACAAAAAGAATTTATGTGTTAAGTTTAATTATTGATAGCTGTAATGGTCTATGCAACATTATTCTCATCATAACTACGCATTTAAATAACACATTGCTGCATGTAATCCATGAATTAGCTTGATAATTTTATTTAATCACAATTTGGGACATGACAGCTATCTTCCTTAACACCTTACCACATCTGATCTACAGTACTCCAGAGGATGCAATCCAAATGTTTTGTACGATTTTCTCAGACTACCACTTACTTGAGAAATCAAGGCCAAAAGACCTTTATTCTGCAGGAAAAAAAAAAAAAAAAACTACAAAGTTTACAGATTTTCTGGCACACAAACCCAGGCTCAACAGAATATGCATACATACTGCATAATTTACCACACTATACAAGGTAGCAAAGTTTCAGGAATGAAATGCATAATTAAAAATCATAAAACCAGACTCAAAGATGGCTCAAATGCCTTTATCAAAATTTACTGAAGTTTTAATAAAAACAGAAATGTAAAATCGAAAATATATAAAAGCAGATCTTTGAAAACACGATCACTTAAAATGTACGTTCACAAACTATGTTTTATTGATGTTTCAATGATAAAAATAACCTTTGACTCAATTTAAAATAGTAAATTTAGAACAAGTATATGAACTCTATTCTATTACCTCAGCATCACTTCTTGAATCCATAGTTCCTAATTTGGAATGTAATGCACCAATATTGTATAGTATGCATGCTTCTTCATATTCAATATCAGTGATGTTGTATGCAACTCCTGAATATATATCCGTCCTGCCATAAAAGATAAATTAAAATTTATTATTTTTAATTTAATAAATTATCCAATAAATGATAATTTTTTTAATGAAACCATTTAACCAAATTAGAAAAAGTTACATTTTACATCTATTTGCCACAAATGATTCTTTAACTGTTAGCTCTTGCAAAAGAAATTGAATATGAATAAATACAGACACTTCAATTCACTTATGCAACAAGTTCAGTTCCATGGAGATTTCTGATAAGAAACATGTACAAGCACACGCAATACAGTGACTTCAGGAAACACGTGAAAACATATAACTCAGGGGTTCTCAACCAGTGGTATGCAAGAGAAAAATAGGTGGTATGCAAAGTATTTTTAACTATTATATTCAAAAATTAAAACCCCAACATCCTGATTGAGTTCCTTCTCCAGCACTCATAAATTTATATGATCTGAGCTTTGTTCAAGAGTGGTAGTGGTAGTAGTACATTGTAATGGTGGTACTAAAGGTTTTAAATTTTTGTTTAGACAGTATGCATTAGTCAAAAGGTTGAGAACCACTGGTTATCATAAATTAAGGAAAAATCACGACTACTGAAAAGTTACATGTAGAATTAAATGAAACTTACCCACAATATACAACACATAGTAAGGTATCAAATAACATAAAAAGAAATTACCAAACAAATATGGTAGTATAGATATTAGCACATGTATAAAATGAAAAATCGAAGGTGTCAGTTTGCTATAGGAAAAGTACCTTCAATATGGAATACGATCACCTCTAGAAGCCATACAGCATATACAGCGATGTGTGATGCTTTCAATTATGCGGTCTATCAGTTCCATAGGAAGCGAGAGCCGTTGCTCTTGCAAAGGACTTGCAAGTGCGATAAGGGTTTGAAGGGGCGGATTGAGAGCAGTTAGACATCTCCCTAAAGCATCCCAAACTTGCTCGATAGGATTCAAGTCCGGGGATCGAGCTGGCCACTCCATGCGCATAATTGTTTCCTGTTGAAAATAATCATCTATGATGCGAGCCCTGTGTGGTCTTGCGTTGTCCTTCTGTAACAGGAAAGCATCACCTATAGCCCCGGCATATGGGCGCACATAAACATCAAGGATGTCATCTCTATAAATCTGAGCATTCATGGTTCCCCTTGGAAAGACATGGAAGTCTGTGCGTCCACCCAAAGAGATGCCACCCCAAACACAGACACTGCCCCTTCCGTATGCATCTCTTTTACGGATGTTTGACGAATGATAACGTATTCTAGGTTCTCTCCATATCAAATAACGCCTACTATTGCTTTCTACACTAAACCTTCACTCATCCATAAAGAGAACCGCCCTCCACTGATCAGGCGTCCAGTGGACATTATGTCGTGTCCACTGAAAATGGTCCCTCCTATGACGTGACGTGAGCGGCATATAAATGGGTGATCACCTTGCCTACAGACCACCTTTGTGAAGCCTGCTACACACAGTTGACGTTGACGCGAACCTTATGGTGGCTGCAGCAAGGGAGGATCTAAGAAGAGTCGGAGTAGTGGTTCTATTCCTGTGTGCACATAATGTCAAATATCGGTCATCGGCGCTCGTCATAGCAGTTGGCCGTCCTTGGCTAAAACTCCTAGAGGCCGAATCTGTGGTTTGAAATATCCTCCAAAGTCTATGAACCACAGAAGGACTCACATATAGCCATCTGGCCACTTCTGTTTGACTTTGTCCTGCCTCTAGTCTCCCAATGGCTCTCCATCGCAGTTCTGCAAGCAAATGATGCCTGGAGGTCATTGTTACGAATTGGCTATCTCAAATTTCTGATATCACTATCCCAGTGAAATATGTGGTCTTGCTCTCAAACATGGACTTGTATGCTCCTCACAGATGACGTATTCCAAAAGCAGTGCCAATAATTTGCATATCACAGTTTTACTCAGCTACTCTTACTTGGCAACATAATCCAATTTTACACAGTTTGGCTTATTTTTGAGGGAGTTATCACTATTTTTGTGATTTTTCTTTAATTTATGATAACCAGTGTATAATTCATAAAAACAAATGAAATGAGGACCATTATTCTTTCAGCATCTGCATTAGAAAATTCTGCAAAAATCTGGAAAACTTTAATTGATTCACTTGTTTATTTGGTACTTCCTTATTTTTATGGCCTCCAACATAATGGCATCAAGATTATCGCCAAGTTTGTTCCTGGCTACCATGTTTCCATGACGTTTCTTGACATGGCATCAAAAGCATTTTCTCAACCTTGAGATGTATTTATTCTACAATACATGGACTCAAGATGATGATGAGCTACATTTCATTACTTTTCATTTAGAGGAGCCCTCCAATTTTCAACATTTTGTGTATAAGTAGTATTTTTTGGATCCATAAACTGGCATTTATAGCACACAATGGAGTGAGCACACACTGCTTTTTCCAATTTCTCAATTTTGTAATCTCAGCAACAGTCTGAATACAACATAAATCTGCCATTTTAGTCATAAGAGTGAGTTGTACCTCCATTTTGAACCTTAATGAGAAAGTACTTATTTTCTCGGCCCAGCCCATCAAATGCACACAGTAGAGGGGGGAAAAACACTCTGCTAGCATTATTTTTCGACGGAAGGAACAGACTTTCATCAATTTCCAGAATTTTTCAGGGCCATTTATTTATTTATTTGTCATATTAATTATAAAGACAAGCCTCTTTTATAAAACTATTTCAGTCAATAGCCATCTCTTCACAAAGACTGAATTACTAACTGTTATGCATTCACAAGGAGAAGTTTTTAAAATACCAAAAGTATTAAATATAATATCAATTATCAAATTATTCTGATCAGTAATGTCTTTTTCCCTATATAAAATAAATTTACACTGCTAATGTTTAATTTTATATTACCTGCCACTTTTTGCAACTAAAAGTGCACTTCATACAGCTATAGAGTCTAGAATTTCCAATAAACAAAACTGATTTTAAGATCAGTATGCTAATAAAGGCATAAAACATTTGAGGATTAGTTCATGAGTTCGGAACTGGGGAAAGGAATTAGTTTTAATGTGGGAAAATCTTTATGAATGCATAATTGGTTACTTGCGTATTAATGCCATCGCAGCTGAAGATTTGGCAGTTTTTAAGTGCCGCCAATTTACACATAAAATTTTTGCGACAAATCGTAAATTAAAACACTTTATTTAAAACCAAAACACTTTCAAAAATCAAAACATTTTATTTAAAACTAAAGTAGTCAATTGGATTTAGGTGGAAAATGGGCCGATATAGAGTTTACCATAGATTCTAAACAGTCTCTATTTTCTTTGACCTGATGCTGTCACCATATGAACTGTGATAAGCAAGATTCTAAATGATGTCTTGCTGTCCCCCTATGTTTCTTGTTTCTCCATTTAGCACTGCCCCACATTTTCTCAACTGTTTGTGTATGAACTCCTGTATCAGGATAAATAAAATTGTATTTATGATTAACTTTAGCATATAGGAATCCAAAAGATCACTGCCCGCAAACAACAGATTTGCTCTTTATTGGCGCATCAGCGCAACTTCTGCTGCGGTGGCGATAAAAAGTATTGTACTGGAAAACTGGCAGTAAATTCCACACATAATTTTATTCCTTGATAATGCAACTGAAAATGCTATTGAAATTTTGAATGTTTTGCGTAAAAATATTACAAAAAAGTGTCCTAATTTTTTCAAGAAATAGCTGTAAAAGTTCACAGTTCTTGGAATATTTGCTTGAGTATAATAATTATATTTTGCAATCCTTGGATTGAAAATCTTCTGTAAAAATTGTTATCAAAATGAAACCATAATTTTCTTTTACAGATTCATGAAATTTGTATTAAAATTAATTCACTTATAAAAATCCACATTTTCTTAATTGTAAAGCAATGTCAAATGGAATTTAGAACTTAATACATAGAAAAGTAGCAAAATTCAGAACAATAAAGTAAACTTTGATAAAAATAGGCAAATCTCCTTTACAATGCAAATCAGTGTGACAACTTGCCGATGGCTGCAGGGTGCTTAAATACAATTATATATAATAAGTCTCTTTTCCTTAATAGAGTAACTGCCTTCTAGTATTGTATAATTATCAAAGTTTGTATTTATTGTTAAAAATGATGTCTACAAGATTTTCTTATTTTAAAACATTGCGATCAAAATTTTATGATAATTTTTTTTTTTTTTTTTTTTTCAAAATTATATTTCCTTTGTTTTGCAGATGCTTTTTTCTAAAAAGGCTTTTCTGTCACCCAAACCTTTTGCTCTTTGAAGGGATGGGGGAAGAATATGCAAAATATAAAATATCTAGCTTTTAAATAATAAATTAATAATAGCCCTCTAACAGCTAACTTCTTTATAAAAATAATATTTCTGGACTGTGCCATTTCTAGATTACTCTATGCCACGAAGCTTGCGTAACGGTGACAACATAGTAATTGAGAACCTAAACTTTGAGAACTTAAACCAAAACCTTTCTCTTAACAGCCTCTCATACTGGATAACTACACACTTCACCTTTTCTCTCTATTCTGCTTAGACGTAGTTTCGCTAGGCTCCCTTTCTAATGCAAAAGTATCAAAATATAAATGTTCTTGAATAGGCACGATTAAGAGTGCTAAAAATGATAGTGGCCACATATGCAAATTTAAATAAATATGGAATTTAATTCGGCTCAACTGCTTTCTCTTCAAAATGGATGGACACTCTAAGCATAAAGTACCTATGCCAAACAACATTGCTACACTTCTATGTTTCAGTATTCATACACTAGTACTTCTAAATTTTGCCTTTCATTACATACATACTTTTTGACTTTTGAAAAACAGGAGCGGAATGATGTCTAGCAATTGTAAAGGTACACTGTGAAAAAAAAAAAAAAAGGAACAGTTCTAAAATCTCCTGTTCTACTAGGCCAATTGATGAAATTCAACTTGCGTTTTTATGTCTCCAAAGTGCGTCTTAGGATATGTATTAGATTTACATATAACATTGTTCTAATATAGGTATTTTGGTACAAAATCACACTTTTTCTGAAATAACATACCATTTTTTTTTTCCATTTCAAAATGTATTTTGTCCATATAATCCTTATTTCATAACTAAAATTTGTATTTAAAATTGCTAAAGTGTTTTTTATGATAAATATTGACAGTTTGGTAATCCTCTTTTGAAAATACCATGAAAATCATCAGCTTGCACCCAATATTTAAATTTTAACTTTTCATACGTAAAAAATCACGAAATGGCAAAATGGTGGTTGTACCGTCATTTTTCATTTTTCCCTGCATTTTCACCTTTTTTAACTTTATTTGCTCACTTTCAAATTTATTCAATCATATTTAATTATAAAAAATTAATTTTTATGCTATTTCTTTAAACTACATTCTTCCTTGAATGGTTTTGCAATCTATCAGCAAGGTCTTATGCGAGTATCAACTAATGACCGTGTGTATATATCGAAAGTATAGTATTTTGTACATTGTGTGCATAAACTAAAAGTACAGTATTTGTGTATTTTGTACACAATTACATATTTATGCATCTACCTTGGCACAATGTGGAATTTTTTAAAGGTGAAAAAGAATAATCACTTGAGTCACCATTTAATTCAATTTTTAAAAATTCACCTATACATACAAAAATATTATTACATACACATTTTACATTCCAATTAGATATTTACACCAAAAAATCAATCCAAGAAACCTATTTACAAACTGGTATTTCTTCTGTTCTGGTGGATATTTTATGGCTATCACTAAACAGATTCAAAACAATTGTTCCCATTAGTGATTCTGTGGCCAAATACTATGTTCCATAGAAATTTTAATGAAGTTTCTTCCATTGCTAACGAATTTCATGCATATTTTAAAACTTAATTTAAAGCAAAAAAAAAAAAAAAAAAAAAAAAAAAAAAAAAAAAAAAAAAAAATTCCACGATTTGTTAATAAAAACCCTAGAATACCACAAAAAGAACACCTACAAAAATGACTTTGCCTGGACTGAAAGTTTGCTGGAAGGTCTATTGCCTGAAGAATAGTTATGTGCATGGTTACCAGAAGTTTGGCACACTCTGAAAAATCTGGCAACTTCAACTAAGGTAATTATAAACAACATGTGAGTACCTTAAACTCATAACTGCATTATATTCATGCTTATTATGATTAATTTTGATTGCATATTAAAAAAATCATTAAAACTCTCAGCGGAGAAAAGAAAAAAAAAATTACCACATGAATGGTACACAAGCTGCCCCATCATCAGTCATAGGAAAACGACTTTGTAATTTATGAAGTTGAGAATAATAACGCTTCATGATGCTGCATCCTGTGAAATCCATTGGAGCTTTAATTGCATTCTGAAAAAAAAAAAAAAAAAAAAAAAAAAAAAAAAAGAAGCATATCAGAACAATTACCGTATACCTTTGTATATAAAAGCAAGATTAGCTGATTCAGCAAAGTTTACAGGTTAGATTAGGTTAACTGATTAAGGCAAAGTTACTCAACAGTTATGTGCCTATGAGAAAGGATGTCTTAGTGGAAGAATTTTCAAGGAAAACTTTCTCACATTCAGGTAAGTATTCAGCCTTCTAACTCACTGGGATCTGAACTTGGATTAAACTACCAGGGACTAGCAGTCTAAATGGTTGGCTATGGAGCCAAAGTTCACAAGAACTGAAGGAGCAGAACTTTTCACAGGTAGCAGTTTAAATTTTATATTACTTTATTCATAAATCCCGTCAAATGCACTTTCTCCCTTGCTGACAGGAAATAAAATAATTATTGTGAAAGGAATAAGAATGGATCATATAAAAACAACAGACCACGAAAAATATTACCTCGCTGTACTGCTATCACAAAATTAAAAAAAAATTGTTTGTTCGATGTTATGCAAATTGTATTTCTTTCTTTGTACTGAGGAGCGGTGCAGACGCAAATTTGTTAGGTTTTTAAAGCTCGTGTTTAGAGCTTTGAGGTTGCTGTGAATTACTGGAGTTTCAACTAAGCAGAGGTTCTTCTGAGTTTGTGTTGGTAAGCCGCTACTGAAGTCGGAGTTCGTTTGGAGTTTGCAGTGTGGTCTTCGCCGTTCCTCAACTAACTTACTGTTTTGAAAGTAAGTCAATAAAGAAGTTTCGGTCAACGTTATGAGTCTGAGGTTTTTTTGGGTTCTATACTGAAGTAATATCAAGTCAATTTACAGTCCACTATTTTTAAACAACGGAACGTACATGTTTTTTGGTCCGTCAAGCCGAGATCGGAGTCGCAGTAAATTTGGTGAGTCAGTGTGTTTTTTTTTTATCTTTCTTATTAGATAATGGAATTTACAACGCTTAAGACTAAAAAGCGTGTAGCTAAAGCTAAGCTAAGTTAAGTAAACTGAAAGAGAAAATTACACAGTGACTTACGATTCTGCTGATGTTGATCAGTTAGAACTTTTTAAATCTAGATTAAATAATTTAATGACCGAACTTTCGGATATTTTTAGTAACATATTTGTAGTGTGTGAAGAAAAAAGAAAAAGATATTGATGTATTTATAGAAGAACAACAGGTCATACAAGATACTGTTGATGAGTTAATTTTAATGCTAACCAGAGTTAAGAATGTTAAAGACATTAGTGTGGAAACTAAATCTTGTGAAATAGCGAGTATACGTACTTCTTACCTAAGCTAACTCTTCCTGTTATTTAGTGTACTGAAGAATGGTTATCATTTTTGATTTATTTAAAACGGCGATAGTGGATAATGACCGTTTATCAGGTGCACAAAAGCTACAATATTTAAAGGGTTCTTTAAAAGGAGATGCTTTGCGGATTGTTCAAGCTTTAACTATTTGTGACAGGAATTTCGAAATAGCGTGGCATTTATTGTGTCAAAGATTTTCACATAAGAGAGAATTACTTTCATCGTTATTAAAGAAAATCTTGTATTTATCAAATTTACAAGCTGAAATTTGAAATTCCTAGTCAGATATTAGCGTTAGTAGACACTGTAAGAGAGTGTGTGTATGTTCGTTTGAAAATCTAGGATTCAAAGTGGAGCAATTCGCGGATACTATTTTAATGTTAATAGTACAGTTTAAATTGGATTCTTCGACGAGAGGATGGTGGGAAAGAACATTAAAGAGTGAGGAAATACCAACACTTAATAATCTGCTAGAGTTCTTGAAATCTCATGCCAGAACCTTGCAAGCAGGTAAAACGCAAGGTGTTAAAAAACAAGTTACAAAAGACAAATTAACTTCATTGGCTTCAGAGATTCGCGCGCAGTGTACGTATTGTATTGTAAAGCCGGTCATTCAGTTTTTAAATGTAATAAGTTTTTAAATCTGAATGTTCAGGAACGCGTTAATTTTGTCAAGAGAAATAATGTTTGTTTTAATTGTTTGGTTTCAAATCCATAAAGCTTTCGAGTGTAGAAGTACACATAAATGTAAAAAAAGTGCTTTAAAAATCATCACACACTACTGCATTTCGAAAGAGTTCAAAATGAACCAAAGGCACGTAAAGGAGTTACGAACAGTTCGAATGAATTATCAGTGACGGCTAAGCCATTTTTCCCTGGGCCAGAACCTCGCGCTCAATCGGCTGGGTCAGGGGAGAATATCGCAAGTTCTAGTTCTAGTCCAGTAATTAAATCTTGTGTTTCAGACTTTAATTTTCAGAGTGAAGTTTTATTATGTACGGCTGTTATTAAAGTGTTAGATTCATCGGGTGAATACCAATTGTGTAGAGCCCTCCTTGACCCTGGCAGTCAAGCAAGCCTGATTTCAGAAGATTGTGTACAAAGGCTAGGGTTAGCAAGAAGAAATGCCAAAGTTTTTATTTCATGTTTAGGGTCTTTGGATACGAAAACTAATGGAATTACGGAAATAAACTTCGTTCCGCATTTTCCGGCGAAAGTGTCATTTAAAACACACCAGTATTTATCATCAATAGAATTAGAATTATTGGAACTTTGCCGCATTTTACATTGGATAAGAAGTACGTTGAGGAATATAATGATTTAATGTTAGCAGATCCAACATTTTACAAAAGTGGGCCTGTTGATATACTTTTAGGCGTAGATATTGCCTTACCTCTTTTAAAGGGAGAAATAATTAAATGCGAAGAAGGTAAACCGGTAGCTTCTCGTTCTGAACTAGGATGGATTATTTCAGGTAGTGTGAATAATTCAACAGAAATTAATCCTACTATCTATGTTAATAATATACAAGTGGAAACTGATCAGATGCTGTCTGACTTTTGGAAATTGGATGCTGTACCTACGTTTGACATGCTTACTAAATCGGAGAGAGCATGTGAAGATTATTTCAAATCTACATATACGAGAGAGGAAAGTGGGGGGGTATATACTGTGAAATTACCGTTTCACTCTCCGCCTTCTCAGCTTGGAGATTCCAGACAATTAGCTATGCGTAGATTCCAATCTTTAGAAAATTCACTTCTAAAAAAAGGCCTCAGATATATGAACAGTATAAGGATTTCATGAGGGAATACCTTGAGCTGAGACATATGGAGGGAGTGCCTGAGGGAGAGATTCTTATTGACTCTACGTATTACATGCCTCATCATGCCGTATTAAAGGAATCAAGTACTACGACTAAACTGAGAGTTGTTTTCGATGCTTCAGCTAAAACGACATCGGGTCTTTCATTGAATGATATTTTGATGGTTGGGCCAAGAGTTCAGCAAGAGCTGTTTCCAATTCTTCTACGGTTTAGAACTCACAAAATTGCAGTATGTGCCGATGTAGAGAAGATGTTCAGACAAATTCGTGTCCACCCAAAGAAGAATACAAATTGGCAACGAATGCTTTGGAGGGATAGTCCTAGTGAGCCCTTGAGTACATTTAGATTAGTGACAGTTACATATGGGACTGCCTGTGCGCCATATTTGTCTACTAGAGTAATGAAACAACTTGCATTAGATGAACAAGTGAGATTTCCTTTAGCATCAAAAATTGCCCTTCGTGATTTTTATGTTGATGATTTGCTTTCAGGGGCACAAAGTGAAGAGGAAGCGAATGTTCTAGTTCAGCAGTTGAATGAAATGATGAAAAGGGGTGGATTTCGCTTAAGGAAGTGGATTTTAAAAGTTTTCAAACAGTTCAGCTATTTTAGAGAATATTCCCGAGTGCTTACGAGAATCCAGTATTTCTCTTGAAATAACCAGTGACAAGAAAGTAAAAGTATTGGGAATTAATTGGAACAACTCTAGTGATACGTTTCATTTTTCGGTATGCATAAGTGATAAAGAGTTTACTAAGAGGACTATTTTATCAGAAGTAGCCAAAATCTTTGATCCAATGGGATGGTTAGCGCCAACAATAATATACGCGAAAATATTATTACAAGAGTTATGGAACTTACAGCTGGGTTGGGATGAACTCGTTGATAAGAGAATAAGTAGAAAAATGGAAGCGTTTCTATCTAGAATTGCCCCTTACTTTCAAGCTTACAATTTCCGAGGTATGTCTTGAGTCCGAAGGCAGTAGTGATAAATATCCATGCTTTCTGCGACGCTTCAGAAAAGGCTTATTGTGCAGTCATCTATCTCCGAACAATCAACCTTGATTCGTCAGTCAAAGTCAGCCTTCTGACATCGAAAACCAGAGTAGCGCCCTTAAAAACCCAGTCTCTTCCGAGACTAGAGTTGTGTGCTGCGTTACTTTTAACAAACCTCTTACATGCAGTATTATCATGCATAGAACTGCCTATTAACAATATTTACGCATGGACCGACTCGCGGGTTACATTGGCATGGGTTCGTCCGAACCTCGCCGTTGGCTACCTTTTGTGGCAAATCGAGTTGCAAAAATCCAGGAAGCTGTTCCAGGTATTCAATGGAATTATGTTGCTGCTGGAAAGAAAAGAAAATCCTGCAGACTGTGGGACCAGAGGTTTTATTCCATCAGAATTCCTACAATGTGAGTTATGGATGGATGAAGGGACCGCAGTGGTTAAACGAATCCCTAATTCATGTACAGCAAAATTCAAGTGTAGAATTAGAGGGTGAAGTTATGTTGAAAGGAATTGAAAAAGAGTTTCAGTTCAAATGTTTCCAAATTTGAAGAGCCTAGTGTGTTTTCAAGATTTTCATCATGGTTAAAGTTATGTCGAGTGTTAGCGTGGTGTTTAAGATTCAGAAATAATTGTAGTAAGTTACCTACAGAGCGTATAAATAAAGGGTTATTTATCTACTGAAGAATTCTGTGAAGTTACTTCTATGATTGTTAGGATTGTGCAAAGAGCCGAATTTCCAGAAGAATTATTCTGTTTAGAATCTGGTAAACCCTTGAAGACATCAAGTAAATTACTGTCTTTAAGTCCTTTCTTGGATTCCGCGGGAATAGTAATGCGTGTAGGCGGAAGGCTCAGAAAACTCTACAGTTTCAAATAATCAGAAACATCCTATGATTTTACCTAAGAATCACAATATTACGCGTTTAATTATTAAGCATTATCATGACACGTATCTTCACGCAGGTACGCAGCTACTCACTTCTGTCATACGACATAGATTTTGGATTGTGAATGCTAGAGATATTATAAGAAAGTGTATAAACCAATGTGTTATCTGCCGTAGAGTTAGAGTTAGAGCGCAAACTGCAACTCAGCTAATGGCAGATTTACCCGCTTCAAGAGTTACTCAAAGTAGAGCTTTTTCTCGTGTAGGGAGGATTGATTTAGCAGGACCATTTAACGTTAAATATCGTCCTGGTAGAGGAGTCAAAATCTTTAAGTGTTACGTATGTCTATTTATTTGTTTTACTACAAGAGCAATACACTTAGAATTAGTTGGAGATCTTTCAACAAAATCATTCCTCGCGACACTTAAGCGGTTTTATAGCTCGTAGAGGCAAACCGTGTGAAATTCACAGTGTGATTGTGCAACGAATTTTATAGGAGCTAATAAAGAATTAAGGAAAGCCTTTTCTATTGTTCAACGTGATGATGAACAGCTACAGGGTTATATTTCTTCAGAAAATATTAAATGGTTATTTTTAATCCTCCCTCTGCCCCTCATTTTGGAGGGCTTTGGGAAGCGGGTATCAAGTCTATGAAACATCACTTAAAAAGATGTTTAGGAACACTTATTTTAACATACGAGGAATTTTTGACATTAATAACCCAAATTGAATCCTGTCTTAATTCTAGGCCTTTGGTACCAGCTTCAAGTGATTGTAGCGACTTGGAGGCGATAACACCAGGACACTTTTTAACCGGAGCGGCTTTAAGCGCTATTCCAGAATCTAACCAAATTCAAGAAACCATGAGCTGCAGTGACCGTTGGAGGAACGTGCAAAGGTTATTTCAACATTTCTGGAATCGTTGGGAGCAGTGAGTATTTATCTAGATTGCAGCAGAGACCCAAGTGGTGTGCAAGTTACAACAAGATCTGAAGATTGGTGATATGGTTCTTATTAAGAACGAAAATCTACCTCCGCTACGTTGGAAATTAGGTAGAATTATTAAAGTGTATCCTGGTCTTGATGAGAAAGTTCGAGTGGTGAGTTTACGCACGTCTAATGGTGAAATAAAACGACCTATAGCAAAGCTATGCGCTTTGCCATTTAATTCTTGATTTAGAGACTTTAATTTTTATTTTTTTTCAGGTTTATGCAGTTCAACAGTTTAAATTTATTGTTTGAACCCCCTTGGGACTTCAAGGCTGGGGGTATGTTCGATGTTATGCAAATTGTATTTCTTTCTTTGTACCGAGGAGCGGCGCAGACGCACGCAAATTTGTTAGGTTTTTTAAAGCTCGCGTTTAGAGCTTTGAGGTTGCTGTGAATTACTGGAGTTTCAACTAAGCAGAGGTTCTTCTGAGTTTGTGTTGGTAAGCCACTACCGAAGTCGGAGTTTGCAGCGTGGTCTTTGATGTTCCTCAACTAACTTACTGTTTGAAAGTCAATAAAGAAGTTTCGGTCAACGTTATGACTCTTGAGGTTTTTTGGGTTCTATACTGAAGTAATATCAAGTCAATTTACAGTCCACTATTTTTAACAACGGATCGTACAGTTATTTTTTAAAAGAAAAACACTGCCGAAATATAATTTTCCACATGGTGTTTCGATTCATGTTCACGAGAAAGAATAAATGGATGAAAACAATATGAAATTTTGGATAAGAAAATGTTTGGCAAAAAAGACCTGTTGCCTTAAAGAATTAACCCTCTCGGCATTATTGACAAAAAAACCCATATAGAACAGAGGCTTTTATATTCATTACACATAAAAATTTCTGCCAACTTTTGATGTATCCGTTTCAGATTGGATGCATATTGGAAGAAAAGGAATCAAGGTACAAAGTGAAATAGTAGTTTTTTTAATTATAATCAAGAAAATACCATTTATTCATGACATTCTGAGAAACTTTGAAATTTCAGGGCTAAACTCGCAATGTTCTATGGGCTAAGAAAGTCCTTTAATTTGGAACACGTTCAGATCCCATCTAACGGAAAATACAAAGAAATTATTGAAAGAGTGTAATACAAATATGGCAGTTATTCCAGGTGGAGTAATGCCTTTAGTTCAGCCTTTAGATATGTGTCTCAATAAACCATTCAAAGAAAATTTAAAATGACAGCAGAATATGTGGATGTTAGAAGGTGAAAAAACATTTGCAAAAGCAGGCAAAATGCATCAAGCCACTCTAGAAATATTATGCAAGTATATAATATAAGCATGGAATGAAATTAAACCTGACATATGCAAATAAACTATATCTAACGATCTAGATGGAACAGAAGATAATTATTTATTTATGGATCAGATTAACAGTGGTGAAGATGAAACAGAATTCGATGATGTGCCTGAACACATAAGGAAAGACATATACGACGAACTTTTCATGTTATCTGATAAAGAAAATTTTCAATTTCATAAGGTATCTGATTTCTTTTAAAGAAACAGCATTTAGGTACATTTAGAAATCTAATTTCCGCATGCTCATCTTTTCCTTATTTTTCAATCTTATCATTTTTATATCCAGTGGATAACATGCACCCATAAATTTCAATCTTATTTTTTGTGTTAAAAATATATGGCAGTTAAAATTTAAAAAATATACATAATTTATATTTACTGTTTTAAACTCCATGAATTGCACAAGTTACATAAGTAATGCATTTCATAAATCTTTACATAACTCATTTTATGTAAGTTGAATTTGTAAGTTGTAAGTTAAAAGTACAACTTTGTAACTATAATATTTATTATGTCAATGTTGCCTGTTAAAAATGCAGAATTATATGCACATGGTTGCCAGAGTATGATGCATTGTGAAAATTCTGTGACTTTCACCAAGTTGATTGAGATAATGTGTAATGTTTACACTTTATTTTTTAAATGAAACATTCTTCAGAAATACATACTTACTCATGTATAAACTACAAAAATATGAAAAATATATAAAACGTATAAAAAGAAATTACAATAATACTTTAAAAAAGTGCCTAAATGACAGCCGATATGATTTTGTAGTGGGATATTGGGTGCTGGATATGGGTGACTGAAAACAGAAATGTTGTTCTCTGGCCCATCTACCCTTCTTGATGTTGAAAGTTGAGGTACTCAGAGTCACTAGTTGGTGCCTTCATCGATGATTTAGTTTCTCTGCACATTTCTTGAATCATTCAAACCATGCAGCACTAGATTTAAATGCATTCTGTATAGTCCACAATGTTGGCCTTCTCTTTTCATTCTTTATGCAGAAACCTAGCTTTCTCCGGGATAATCAGAAAACTCAACATTACCTATTTCTGCAACAGATCCTAAATCTAATGTGACACCAGTTGGGTCAAGCCTCTTGGCTTGGTAATGTTTGTGTGGTTCAATGTTACTACACCTTTCCAATGATGCAAACTTAATTGTCACTATAAGATTTATTACAGGAATAAATCGACTTATATATCAAGTTACTGTTAATATAATTTCCTCATCATCATACAAATTATTTTGACTATAATTGTAGATTTTTGTTTTTATATTTTTTATCTGTGCATTTTTTTTTTTTTTTTTCCATTTTAAAATAATTAAGACTTATAAGGGTAAATAAACAACAAAGACTAATAAAGATAAACAAGTGATTAAACTAATTGTATGAATATAATTTGAATGCAAAAAATGTTGATTAGGAGGAAAAGGCATTGTTTATGGAGTCCTTGTTTATCACTAGTTTCAGTTTGAAAGTCATATAACTGCAAATTTACGTTAAGTTGCAAATTACACAACTTGAGAGATTATGGCATAACATTACCATTTTTACTGACAGAAATGTTTAAAATAAATAATACTCTAAAACTATTGCATTTTACTGGTTAGAAAATTTTTCACATTCATACATATGTCAGATTCCTTTTTTCTTTTATTAAAGAAACTATAATGAAAATCAAATTTTTTAAAAATTTGTCAGCTTACAGATGAAATTGGTAATTTTGACAAAAATATATATATAAATATATAATAATATGAAATATATAAATATATAACGTTACTTTGGTCTCTGTTCTCAATGAACAAATTTTAGTTGGATAATAGCAGTTATAAAGTATCATGTATTTAATGAAAATCAGGACTGGCAAAATTCCTCCACAGAAAAAAAAAAAAAAAAAAAAAAGATAAAATCAGGCAGGTAAACAAGATTTCTTCCATTAACATGAAACACAATAGTTTCTTAATTTCTTTCCATTACGAGAGTATATGCATGAACTAAAGAGGTATTAATTTAGAGGTAACTAAAGAGATAACTAAATTTAGTTAAGCCTCAGGATAGTACCAGATAGTTGTTAGTGGCTACTACTAAATTCTGAACATATTAAGATTAATGCTAGATTATCTGGATAAAGCAGAATTTATTGCCGGATAGTCTCCAAAAATTATTGCAAGATTTAACTTTAATAATGATTAATTTCTTAGGATTTTAATTAAGCTACTCTACAATTTGTTCGATACAGACACATGCATACTCCTTCCATAAAAATAAAATTAATTTTCAATAAAAAAAATGGAGCACATCAGAAATACAGATTGCCCTACTTTGATTACTTCATTATCTATATTTTAATGCTTTCTATTTAGAGATAGGGGTATTTAGTACTCACTAACTCTGTAGATCAATATTTAATACTGGGTTGATTACAGTTTACCAATTAACCAGAAAATGGTATGTATTAACCTTTAATTTTTTTCCATTATTTATTAATAAATAAAAAGGTATCATCAATGGACTTACTCACCTGTCTTAATGCCTCAAGTTCTTTTATCTCCTTGTTGTAAGATTCTGGATCTTCATGGTAATGATCTCTAATATACTAGAACATGATTTAAAATTTAGACATTTAAAGTCATAGTATATCTAAGAAGAATCACATTCAAATTACATAAATAAATAATATTTATATTAATAAATTGTATCTTTTAATTTATGCTTTATTTTATTACCAAGAGGGGAAAACATTTAACAAAAAATTTAACAAAAAGGCACAATGCTTCATTAACTATCCACTTTTTGAATCATGAATTATTCATATGCTTTTGATAGAATATGAATCTTTCACAAGCTACTAATATCACACAAGCTAAAAACTACATTATATTTTAAAACAGCAAATTTTCTAGATATCATCTTAAACTGTAAGCAAACTAGACACTTTCTTAAATTAAGTATAAAAGTATGTTGAACTCATAATACATCTTATATTATTACAAAATGAGCACTGATATAATATAGAACACCTTTAGTGCAATCATACATACCGATGCATCGATGCTCAGTAGGGATATCAGATGTAACATACGTACGTAATAATTTATATTGCTACACTGGCAAAACTTAGTAGAGAGTTTGCTAGTTGGCTAGACTAGATGAAACCAATCACTTTTTAATCATGACCGAGAAAACTGCTGAATAGATGATGACTGGAGGGAAAATCATAAGCATACACATACATCCCAAAAAGCATGCCAGGTGCATAATGGAAAAATAATCTTATAAATATGCAATGGACATTTCTTCTGAATTTCCACATTTATAGATATAACTACATATATATATTACAGTACATGTGCTGCATTAGAATATACAGTGACTAACAAAAGTGTTCGTATGCTTACTAGTTTCAGTGAAACACTGCTTTACTCATTAATAAAAATTAATATTTTAGAATGGAAATTTTTTTAATAATATCTATAAATTTCTCTGGTTGATCTTTACAATATGGTAACTGGTAGTTTGGCGACATTTTGGAGGCGATAAAGGTTACTACCTGGGACTTTGGTAATAATGTGAGCAGTACTCAGTTCCGATTACGCATTATTTTGTGTAAGGGAAATGAGAGATCATGGGATATGTCATGTGATATTAATGGACGAATTACGGTTCTTGAATCAGAAAAGGGGGGAAATCTGGAAAAAATCTGGAAATTTTGTATTTGGTTTATTCTGTGTTGTGTGAAACAGTGTTCGTGAATTTTTGGATCCCATGGCCGTAACTAAAGAAAAGTTTATCGGACACATAATCAAGATTCTGAAGAAAATTAGGTAAGTTAGTATTTTTAATTATTTGAGGATATTATTTTTATGCATTGTTCTAAATGTAAGGTGGAAGTAAAGGAATTTGGTATTAATGGGAAAATTGTTATTAGCAATGATTTAGTTTAAAGTAATTAGGATTGTAAGGTAATTTTTATTAATTTAATGTATGTTCTCATTTATATTTTAAGTAGTGTTTTTGAATTTAATTATATTTTAATTAAATGATAGTTATTTTGTGAATTTTATGTTTGTAGGAATTTGGTATACGTTTCAGTTGATATAAACGTGCATGGAAATAATTTAAATATCTGACACTTAAGTATTTGTAATGGTTGCGGAATGAATTCGTTGGTGACGTTTATAATATAATAGATGATTTAGAGGTAAAAGTTTTTGGATATTTTATTTATTTTATATGTGGAAATGTTCATATTTGGAAAGGGTAAATACTTTTTCGCGATCAGGTAATTTCATATATGTTCTTTTTACCGGGTTTAAAGATTGAGAAAATCGTCATGTATTTTTGTGAAATTTTTCTAATTTATGAGAAAAAAGCAGTGTACATGGATATAGTGAAGAGTGTGCGCAATGCCATTTTTGTGCAATTCTGGGATTTTTTTTAAGTAAAATAAGTCGACGTGTACATGGTTTAGTGATATTTTTTAATTAAATGATAGTTATTTTGTGAATTTTATGTTTGTAGGAATTTGGTATACGTTTAAGTTGAAGTAAACGTGCATGGAAATAATTTAAATATTTGATACTAAGTATTTGTAATGCTTGCGGTATGAATTCGTTGGTGACGTGTATAATGTAATAGATGATTTAGAGGTAAAAGTTTTTGGATATTTTATTTATTTTATATGTGGAAATGTTCATATTTGGAAAGGGTAAATACTTTTTCGTGATCAGGTAATTTCATATGTGTTTTTTTTACCGGGTTTAAAGATTGAGAAAATTGTCATGTATTTTCGTGAAATTTTTCTAATTTATGAGAAAAAAAAAAAGTGTAGTACATGGATATAGTGGAGAGTGTGTGCAATGCCATTTTTGTGCAATTCTGGGATGTTTTTTTAAGTAAAAATAAGTCGGTGTGTATATGGTTTATGTGTATGTGTTATTTTGAAAAACGCGTAAGGAGTATGGTATTGTGCACTTTTTCCCAATTTTGCAGTGAATATTTGTCATGATTAAGCAGTTTTGTTAGATAAAATTTCTAGCATAAGTGTAATTCGGCTAGTAGATTGTTGGAAGAAGTGTTCAGTTGATAAAAAGAAAAGAAACATGTCTTTACTTCGTGAAGACAAAATGGCGGCGGGAAAAAAAAATAGAGGGTTGCTGTAAAAGAGTTGGTCGCCAAATTTTCGCGAAAAAAACGCCAAGTTACGATAATGTAAAGATCAACCATTTCTCTTAGCAAAACTATATTAATTATTTTATGAACATATTAAAACTTTCCTTTTGAAAATCAATAATAAAAAAGTAACAGAAAAATACCTCATAAAAGTCTTCTTACACTTTAAAGAAAATCTGCATATACAGTTAAAAGTCTTTAATCCGGACGTCCATAATCCGCAATGATCTATAATCCAGACCTCAAAGCTACAAACTTTCTGCGCATGCGCATAATACGTTTACGCATGCGCATTTAATGTACAATGGACGGTATAAGCTAAGCTAAAATTATCTAATTATCTATTTCAGTTAACACTGCAGATTGCGTTGTTCCTTAATCTTCTAATTGGATCCGGATTGTTATTTTTTGCAGACTGTTAGAGCAATTTTATAAAAGTAAGCTTGAACTTTCAATTATGTCAAAAAGAATTTCCGACTCTGGAGCTGCCAAAGGATCTACAAAGGGAAGCATGTTTCGATGTCCATCAAACAAAAAGTAGAAATTGCTGCAAAAATAGATGAAGGCATATCCTTTGTTTCTCTAACCATTCCGAAATCTGTTTATCAATTTCATGCTGCTCTGCCGGGTTGGGGGGAACGTCGCAGCGCGCAATGAACTGGAAGTTGATCTGTCAGCACTATCCTTATCTTCAGGGCAGATGTTTTTATTTTATTCGACTTATAATTCCTTACTAAATATAGTATTTCATCTCAATGTACTCCATCTTTGATATGATTTAAATCAAATTCCTCGTCATTGTAAATATCATGAATACACGTCAAATAGTTTTCTGGTTGCAATTTTCTAATTTTGACTATGCATAATGTATGCTTTACGCATGCGCACGTTGAAAGAAATGTTTAATAAAGTAAACAAATAAATAAATAACTTTCGATTATGTCGAAATTATCCAAAATTTCGATTAGCTTTTTTTTTGTAAATTTTGATACCCTTTAGATCATAATTATTAACTGTATTAGTAAATATTGTAGTATATCTGTCAGTTAGTATTTAGTAATATCTTCTGCAGTATTTATGACAGCTTTCAAACATCTGGGCATAGAGTTAATCAGTTTTGGTAAAACTGGATATTACAGTCCAATTTGGCGCATTTTAAAAAAATTGCCAGGTCGCCAAATCGGTTGTTTTTGCGCGTTTTAGAAAATCGCTAACTCATCATATCACCATATTATTAGATGGTTGCAAGTTTGAATTAATTCTGTAAAAAAGCAAAAAATAAATCATGTAAGCATGCAAAAATATCTAAAACAGGACTTCAAGAAAAACAACGAAAAAGTGGGGATAGTGCAGAATCACCCACTGCTTGGCACGTTTTTAAGAATTACACATACTCGGTATCCATGTACACATCGACAGATTTTCACTTAAAAAAAAATCCTAGAATTGCACAAAAATGGCATTGCGCCTTCCCTTGACTTTATCCATGTACACATTGACCTATTTTCACTTGAAAAGTCAACGAAAATTGACAAAATCCAATTCTTCTTACTCTTGCAAATGCCAATCAAATAAATAGGCAATTCTGCACTTTACCTAAAGTATTTGGAAGTTAATAACTATGTATTTTATAGGATCAACAATATTAAAATTTTTCATAATATCATATACCATTTTTAAGACAGTAGCAAAATGGAGTAGTGTTTTATCACAAAATTTAAGAAACTGTTATAAGCAGTAAGTGAGTAATAAATTATCGGAAAGCATTGATTCGTATTTAAGCCAAGAGGTTACCAGATTTGGCACTATTTTGCTTCACTTGACGACTGGACCGTAATCACCAGTCTAGCCCCAGTTTTATTTGTAATATCTGCATCAATGTTCCTACATTCTTCTATCATTACTGTTTTTAGTTTGGATTTCGTTTTAATGTTGTGTCTTCGCATTCTAACCAGATGTACTTATTCTCTCCAGATGTGTTCTGTTGGGTTTAAATCTGGTTACTGAGATGGTGTTTCCAGAACTTGTGGTCAATTATAGACACACAAAAGGCAAGCGTTAAGGCCTGTGTGTTTAGGATCGTTAACCTGATAAAAAATAAAGTTGTTTCCAGCATCCAAAGTTTGGGTAAATAATTTTAAATTACCTTTTAAAATATTTGAATTAAGAGAATAGTTCATCGCGCCATCAATAAATACTAAATTATGTAATCCTGATGCTGATGCACACCCTCATACTAGAGCATCTCCCCATGATTTGCTGTTCCAACCAAGGTCTTGGGATTAAGCACTTCAGTTTTTTTTTCTCCATACAATTATATGTCTTTCAGAACCAAAAATGTAAATTTGCTTTCATCTGCAAATAAGGCATGATCTCAATATGGCTTCGGGCTTATTTACCATTGATTTTGAGAAGAAAAGTATAAGCTTTCCATTTTTTAAACTTTTAAAATTTTCTTCAAGTAAAGCGCTCATGTAATCCAGCCGATCTGAGCACTCATTGAACAATTTTTAAGTTAAATTGAAGTAGAAAAATTTTTAGTAAATTCTGTATAAATCTTTACAGGACTCAAACATGGATTTTTCATAGATTTTCTAACTATAAATCACTGATCATGCTGAGTCACATTGAATCTTCTTTATTTTAAATCTGATTTTCTTCTTTAGAGCATCATTGTATCACATACTGCACCATAGAATGGGATAAATTTACTAATTTAGCGATATCCGAATTGAATTTCCATCTTTACAATAAAAAATTATCAGGCTGATAATTTTTTATTGTAAAATTGCGATATTATATCTTTGGAATATGGTAACTGGTAGTTTGGCGACATTTTGGAGGCGATAAAGGTTACTACCTAGGACTTTGGTAATAATGTGAGAAGTACTCATTTCCGATTACGCATTATTTTGTGTGAGGGAAATGAGAGATCATGAGATATGTCATGTGACATTAATGGACGAATTACAGTTCTTTAATCGGATAAGGGGGGAAATCTGGAAAAAAATCTGGAAATTTTGTATTTAGCTTTATTCTGTGTTGTGTGAAACAATGTTGGTTAATTTTTGAATCCCATGGTCCTAACTAAAGTGAATTCAAAATGGCTATTTAGGCATTGTGATAAAGAGAATTTTGCTTTTTATTTAGCGGAGGAAATATGGAGGAAAAATTCGCAGATTAGGTAAGTTAGTATTTTTAATTATTTGAGGATATTATTTTATGCATTGTTCTAAATGTAAGTAGTAAATAATATCGTATTATTGGAAAATTGTTATTAGCAATGATTTAGTTTAAAGTAATTAGGATTGTAAGCTAATTTTTATTAATTTAATGTATGTGCTTATTTATATTTTAAGTAGTTTTTAAATTTAATTATATTTTAATTAAATGATAGTTATTTTGTGAATTATATGTTTTTAGGAATTTGGTATATACATTTCAGTGGAAGTTATTTAAAGTTATGGAAATTATTTAAAAATTAATTAAAATATTATTAATTTTAAATTAATTAAAAAAAGTTATGGAAATTATTTAAATATTGACACTAAGTATTTGTAACATTTGTGGTATGAATTCGTTGGTGACGTTTATAATATAATAGATAATTTAGAGGTAAAAGTTTTTGGATTTTTTATTTATTTTATACGTGGAAATGTTCATCTTTTTAGAAGGGTATATACGTTTTCGCGATCAGGTAATTTCATATATGTTCTTTTTACCGGATTTAAAGATTCACAAAATTTTCATGCATTTTCGTGAAATTTTTCTAATTTATGAGAAAAAAGCAGTGTACATGGATATGAGTGTGCGCAATGCCATTTTTGTGCAATTCTAGGATGTTTTCTTAAGTAAAAATAAGTCAACGTGTACATGGTTTAGTGATATTTTAATTAAATGATAGTTATTTTGTGAATTTTATGTTTGTAGGAATTTGGTATACGTTTCAGTTGAAGTAAACGTGCATGGAAATAATAAATATTTGACACTAAGTATTTGTAACCATTTGTAATGTTTGCGGTATGAATTCGTTAGTGACGTTTATAATATAATAGATAATTTAGAAGTAAAAGTTTTTGGATATTTTATACGTGGAAATGGTATATACTTTTTCGCGATCAGGTAATTTCATATATGTGCTTTTTACCGCATTTTAAGATTCACAGAATTTTTTTGCATTTTCGTGCAAATTTTTGTAATTTATGAGAAAATAGCAGTGTTGATGGATAAAGTTAAGAGTGTGTGCAATGCCATTTTTGTGCAATTCTGGGATGTTTTTTTAAGTAAAAATAAGTCGACGTGTAAATAATTTATGTATATGTGCTATTCTGAAAAACGTGCAAGGAGTTTCCGATTGTGCACCTTTTTCCCAATTTTGCAGTTAATATTTGTCATGATTAAGCACTTTTGTTACATAAAATTTTTCTAGCATAAGTGTAATTCGGCTAGTAGATTGTTGAAAAAAGTGTTCAGTGAATAAAAAGAAAAGAATTTACTTCGTGAAGACAAAATGGAGGCGAAAAAAAAATAGAGGGTTGCTGTAGCAGAGTTGGTCGCCAAAAAATCGCCAAGTTACCATAATCCAAAGATCAACCAATTATCAATTTTCGAATGCTGTTCATTGCTTCCTTATGACTATGAGAAATTTTTAAACATTAAATAAAATATAATGAAACAAGCAAGGAAAAAATAAAGCCAAACAATTTTTTAAACTTCACCAAAATGCAAAAATAAAAAAAAAAAAAAGTGTTAGACGATAATTTTATTCATGAAATTTTACGAAAATGCTTTGGTGTACTAGCATCTTTATGGCCTGTTTTATCTATGCCTCCTTAAATTTTCAATTTTAGAAAAAGAAAATAAGTTAGTATTAAAAATTTAAGTTTGGTTTTATTCAAAATCATAGAGATAAGAAAAAATATTGGGTTTTACATTCGAATTCAATTTCGGGTTACAACACTTTTCTAGCAAATTCTTAACACTTTTGTGAGACACTGTAAATAAAGAAATATAAAACATTTTAAAATACCTGGTACAATATTTTTTTAACTGAAAGACATTCATATTTTACATACATTCTACAAGAAAATATCAACAAACACATTCTAAAAATTAATTGAATTCTTATGCAAGATGGGAAGTAAAATAAGTGATCAAATATTCTCTCAAACGAGAAAAGCAATCAACATTTTCCTACTATTTTATTTAAGTAAACCAAGGATACATAGACCACTGAATCTCAGTTTGAACATAATTACTTAATCATAAACATTTACCTACACTCTGCCTACTATTAAGGAAGAAAATAAATAATTTCTGATGCAAAACGTGAAAAATGCGTAGAATTGAAAACCTATTTTGAGAACTAATAAGGTTATAACAATAAGGATCAGTTTACAAACTGAAAAATTTACAAAAGTCCTACGCCCTAAAATTATTGATGAGAACAAAATATGTCTTCTACATAAAATTACTTCTGTGCAATATTTATAATTTTAATAAAATACATGTCGGAACCATACAAATGTCAAAGTTGACGTAGTTAGTTTTGGTATACAAGAACCGAATACGATGGCTAAGTACTATCCTAGGAATGATAATTTTAATAACACAAATTTAATTACCTTTTTAAGTATAGGACCAAATTCTGTATTACTCGGACTTAGTTTAAGATCACAACTTATCATAGGTAGTCGCGGAGCAGCTTCCATCTTCAGATTCGATTAAAGGTAATAACAGAAATTATCGAAATGTCATTACTATTTCACCCGTAATGCCACGGATAAAATAGAAATAACAAAGTAAAATATACCGTAGTTTCAGGGCTATCACTCAGTGGTGACGCACTCTACGATGTGTCAAAATCATGTGATCTAACGTTAAAATTGAATTAACTTCGGCAGTTTATTGAAAAAAGTTCTATATGTTTCTTAAATATAAAATTTTAATGATATTTAGTTATATTATAAAACGAATAATTGATGAAATCATAAAAAAATGATAGCAATAATATGCCAACTATAATTTTCCGAAGTTTATAGTATTAATAATTTCATTTCTAATCATTTGTGCTTTAAAATGATTTTTCATGAATTACTGATGAAAAACTCATTATATTTTTTTCAGTACTTACTCCTTTTTCCATTAGAATGAAATTAAGGAATAGTTTCCTTTGCAAATATTCTAAAGAAGAATATTTTTAAGGAACGAAATCATACTTTTACTACTGTTAATTGAAAAATCTGTACCAACCCGCCTAGGCCAAGGCCAACTAGATATCTACAGGCCTGCTCCAATCTGATGATCACATGATCTGACGTCATAATCTTAGTCCTTCAATTTTGTAAGTTGACATTGCTTTCGCCGTAGGACTAGTGCTAGTGAGATAATTGTTTACATGTGTTTTTTCTTCTGAAAAATTTTGTATTTTACCGGAAAGTAAAATATTATATTGTGAGTTCGAATTTATAAGAAAAAATGTGTTTTAGAATGCCAAGAACGTGTAGTGTACCTAAATGCCGATCAAATTACGATAGCAGTAATGAACATGTGTCGACTTTCAAATTTCCTTCGTATCCTGTACTCTCTCAGAAATGGATAAAAAATATTAATTGCAAAGATTTTGTAGCTGGCAAACAGACAGTAGTGTATGCATTAAGCATTTTGAAGAAAAAATTTGTCGTTCGAGAAGATAAAGCTGTTCGTGATGATGGAACGGCATTAGTAATGGTTTTGCAAGAAAAATGGATCTTCCCTCTTCATGGATATTCATAACCAAAGGTAAGATCTTTTGGCTATCGAAATTAGAATTTTTAAACTGTTCAAAAGTGCTTGTATCTTTAAAAATATTGGACGATTTAAATGTAAGAGTTTTTTTCAATGAAAATGAAATTCCCATTGAAAAGTTCAAATGGATATTTGGAGAAGAAAAACTATGTGATAAATGGTTTAAACTTGAGACAGTGATTAGCCATTTGGATGGTTTTTCTGCTTCTGATATTCATGATGACTGCAATTTAAATTTAGATAAAATATCAGAACTACTGTTGAAATGTGCAGAAACAGAAAATAATCCACATTCTGAGAAATTTAAGTTTTTGTATGAACAGATTCAATTAATGCAAATGAAACAGCATTCGTATAGTGCAGAATTCTTTGCCTGGTCTTGTTATATATTTTATTGTAATCCAAACAGCTACAATATTATACGTAACAGTATTTTATATTGCCTCATCCGTCATACTTAAGAAAGTTATCTCTGAAAATTGGCCGAGCAGATTCTGGATTACAAACAAGTCACTGGATGTATTTGAAAAAAAAAAAAAAAAAATGTGAAATTTTAAATGATTCTGAAAAAATTGTCAATTTGTTATTAGATGTGATATATATAAAACCACAAGTTTCGTATAAAAGTGGTCGTGTTTAGGTTTTTCGGATAATTCGCAGATGGAGGCCACAACTCTGCAAACATTTATGATAAGCTATATTAGCAAAAAACAGAAATATTGTAGCAATGTTTCCCGTAAAAAACTTATCATCACATCAATTATTAATATTTACAAAACAAGTAATTGACCATGTACAGTCTTGTGGTTATCGAATCATAACTCTAATATAAGACAATAATAGAATTAACAGAAATATGTTCAAAATGCTTTGTGGTGGTGCATTAAAATCCTCATTTATAAACCCTTACCATGCATAATCTTCCTATATTTACATTATTTGATACAGTTCATTGGTAAAAGTTTACAATTGGGTGCCCCTAGTTTATTGGCGATTCTTTCTTGACGCCAAGATCGGCGCCAGGAAGTCACAATTTCAAGATGGCCGCTACACAAAACCAAAATAAGAAGTCGAAGAATTGCATAAGATCTGTGTCCATGTACACATCGATCTGTTTTTACTTTAAAAAAAAAAAAAATCCTAGAATTGCACAAACTAGGCATTGCGCACTGCCTTAAATATGTCCATGTACACATCAATCTATTTTCATTTAAATAAAATCGGGAAGCTAAAACAAATTTAAAACTATTGTGGTAACCAGAAGTGAGGTTTCATCTCCAAAATTTTTTAAAAAATGTCGCCAATCGAAGGGGCACCCAATTCTACACTAAAGCCAGTTCATTTATCGAAATCTATACGAAACAACTGGTTCAATCAGAACGATTCAAACCAAACATTTTTTATACCGTCATTTGAAAACTCAAATATTGTTTACAATTCCAGTGTTCTACATTTAAAAAAATTGTATAAAATAGAAAAAAACGATAATATTAAAATGGCTCCAACTTTATCAAGGAAAGTTTTATTTCCGTCTTCTATAGAGGAACAGAATGTAAGTACTGCTATTAAACTTTTTGATGAAAAGACTTTAGCTGCTCTGCAAATTGAATCGCAGAATAATAGAATTCGGTATGGAAAAGATGTCTTAAGAACTAAACATTTTATTGATGTAATTTTAAAGTGGTGGAAAATTGTGAATGTTAAACACTCTAAAAAGGCCTTACAGTTTCGAGATGTATTTATGCAGCTTATAAGGACAACAGAAGATAAAAGCTTAGAATGTTTATCACAGTTTTGTTCGTGGCTTATATCATGGAACGATTTTTTTTTTTGCCCAACAACAAAAAATTGTAAGTCACAAATTGGGGAAACTATCAAAAGAAGCCCAAGTTGCTCTTCTCCATACAACAGCAACATTGAATGAACTTTCAAAGTATTTGTTAAAAGAATTTAAATTACCTTTTATTCCTTCAGGAAAATTTCAGACAGATAACCTTGAGGTACGTTTTGGTCAATTTCAACAAATGAGTGGCTGTAATTATAATGTATCCTTACAGCAGATTATAAAGTCGGAAAGAAAACTAAAATTAATTAGTTTGCTTAAAATGCAATTTCTGAGAAAGGTTCATTTATTTTACAACATTTTTCTTGTAATGATATTGAAGATTTTAATGATGATCAACTTATTGATAAGGAATTTGGTGATGTTTTGCATCAATCCAACGATGTTAATGTTACAGAAAAAGATACAATGTGTCTAATTTACATTTCTGGATATGTTTGTAGATCTGTATTGAAGCATATAAATCGTAATCTCTCCAGGAAAAAATTAATTCTTGACGAAGATAGTTGAACATTGGGAAGATTTTGCGTACTTAGCTGCTATTGATCGAGGTGGTTTATTTTGGCCAACAGAATTCGTGCTTTTCATTCCTCTGCATTTAAAATATTTTCAATCCTAATATCTGAAATGTATGAGAAATTATATATTTCATCAAAAAATCAACATTCTATATTAATAAGTCTCATCACAGAGAAAGTTGAAAACAGGATTATTTGGAATGATAGTATTTGTGAATGTGGCAAATCATTGCATGATTTGTTGAAAAGTTGTGTCACACGCATTTCCAATATATTGCAGAATATTTACTGTAAGGTTAAAAATAACAATTTAAAGGAAACCAATGACCAAAAAAGAAAAATGGGTAAATTAAGTAAATAATTCTGGAATTTAGGTGAATTTTTTATGTAATTTTAAAGTTAAATAATTAGTATTTGCAAACTGTGCATAACTGAGCCATAGAAACTTGCTGCTGCCTACTAGTGGCTGAGTGGTAAAATAGCTGAAAACTGATAGTTTGGTCTGGAGTTCCAATCTCGGCGAACGGGCTGGCTGATAATTACCTTATACGGGCAAATAGAATTGATAATTACCTTATATGATCAAATAGAATCAAAAGTTAATTAAGTTTGAAAATATTGACAAGTGTGATAGAAGCTGATGAACCAACAAAAAGGAAGATGTTAATTTTAAAAGTGAAATAAAAACTTGGGAAATATGGGATGATAATGCGATAGCAAGAAATCTAATGAATTGGACTGTGACAGCTCCATAAGCGTTAAAAATATGTGAATGAACAGAATACAAAGAAATGATGGGAGAAAATAAAAAATGAAATGGCGGCAAGAACAGAAGATATTCATATCAAATGTAGAAAGAATTAGCTCAACTGAAAATGAGTCAAAACGAATCTGTAGATGCTTACATGAATACAGCTGTAATTCTGAAAAGTAAAAGCATTCAAGTTGGGATGAAATAAGAGATAAAAAATTAATTTACCTCATACTAGAAGGACGTTAAAGTTGATTGTTGTTAAAATTATCAAAAGTAATAAAGAGAAAGATATAGCTTCAATTATACAAGCTTTAAGATAAACAAATTGTAGATCATGATTTAAAAGCAATTTTTACCAAAACTAAAGCAGAAGAAAAGACGAGCGAGAACAATGAAAAAAGGGTTGATCTTTACATTATGGTAACTTGGTGATTTTTTGGCGAAAATTTGGCAACCAACTCTCCTACAGCAACCCTCTGTTTTTTTCCCCCGCCGCCATTTTGTCTTCACGAAGTAAAGACATGTTTCTTTTCTTTTTATCTACTGAACACTTCTTCCAACAATCTACTAGCCGAATTACACTTATGCTAGAAATTTTATCAAACAAAACTGCTTAATCATGACAAATATTCACTGCAAAATTGGGAAAAAGTGCACAATACAATACTCCTTATGCGTTTTTCAAAATAACACATACACATAAACCATGTACACGCCGACTTATTTTTACTTAAAAAAAACATCCCAGAATTGCACAAAAATGGCATTGCGCACACTCTTCACTATATCCATGTACACTGCTTTTTTCTCATAAATTAGAAAAATTTCACGAAAATACATGACAATTTTCTCAATCTTTAAACCCGGTAAAAAGAACATATATGAAATTACCTGATCGCGAAAA